AGTGCTCCACGGGGATGAGGACTTTTTTACAACGGTTCTTGAGGTGAAAATGAGCATAACTGCTTACAATTTCCTCATCCCTTCATATGCAAACTGTGGCATGTTAGCACTCATACTAACTTCCTGTGAAGAACACTTATTAGGTATAGCCACTTTGTGTCAAACAAATTTCTTTCCTCGTTTTCATTACAGATGGCACGAAGAACGGAAGTTCCGGATCACAAGCTCTAACGCCCACTCAGTTCGCACAAGGATCAAGCCATTCGAGGACTTGGCAAGGCATATAGATGGCTAACAAGAAACCATTTTCAACTGCCGCAACTCGATATGGTACTAAAGCTCGGTGTCTTATTGACAAAAGTGTCTCTCAGTTACATAGTATCTAAAGCTTGAAGTTGCTGCCGAAACAATGAATTAATCACAAATAAATGCATGGCATGACGAACACCAGCTGCCACAAACTTTTTTTTGTTTTTGTTTACGCTCCTGTTCTTTTTTGCTCACCAAGTTTTTCTTTTGAGTGTTTTTGAATTTTTCTTAATTGCATGCAGGTCTCCGAGATGAACCCCAGGCTCGGAAGGTGCTGGAGAAGAAACTGCGGACTCCGATCCTTGAGGTACGTGCAGCAAAAAATATGGACTCATGTTATCTCTCGTGCACCTCTCATAACGACACAACACATCAAGATCCAGCGGACCGGCTCTGCCATACCAAGTGCACCAAACAGTGCATGACAGACACATTGTGTTGAATAGGCCGATGTACAGCCAAATGACGAAGTTTAAAGCTGACTATTACTCAAGTGTGTTCCATCCAAGATGTCAGTACACCAAAATGCCTGCACGTCGTTTTGTGCCAAATCGTCGCAGGGTAATGACCTGCAAAAGCAGATCAGTTGTAATCTGTGTAGCCAGATTAAACACTAAGTCAGATTAAAAATACATGCAATAAAAACATTATGAGAGACCTGGTGCCTAGAACCAATAGTTCTGAACACACACAGCAGCATTGATTTAGGATCGGCTTATCCCAAATATACATTTTCACATCATGGAAAAAAAATTGTTCAGGCCACTGGAGTCCTGTTTTAGTTGGTGTGAAATGAGCCTTTTTTTAACAACATCATGTCATGCAATTTGCCTATAAAATAATAAGAAGGGCCTCCTATTTCTAGAGGGTTTAATTGTGTGATTGCCCTGTTGTTGAAAACTTGAAACAAAAGAATATAACACTACGGTTGAATACAAACTACTACTGTCTTGCAGTTAGCAACGGCATTTGATTCCGGTTACGAACATTCCCCCTGTGCCTGCACTCACCAATCAGTTGCGGCAAACGAGAACCGAAGGAGGGGCAAGGGTGTAGTGATCGTGGTGTCTTCATTTCCAGTTGTAAGGTGTCCTTTTCAGTTCTGCCTAATAAATTCCAGTTTGTCTTGGTAAGCAGGATGTGTAACAGCCTGGTTATTATTATTAAGACATTAAATTAAATTTACCAGGACAGAACTGAAAAAAATCTACTCTTCTTGGAAGATGAAGCCATCACAATCACTACACCCTTCTCTCCTTTTTCGGTCTGCCTCCCCTTTTACTATCCTTCATATTTTCTGTATCTGATTGGTGATCATAGTCTGTGGGAATATTTGGAAACAGAATAAAATGTTGTTAGCTTATCTGTGTCCACTCATAGCTTTATTCTTGTTTCTAAGTATTCACTTTTACAGCGCACTTGCATTGATCAGTCATCTATCGCTTCTACTTGATTAGAGTGCAAGGTAGTCAAAACCAAATTGTTCTATTTTTGAGACTGGACTCATTGCACTGCCAGAGCAACCATGGCTTGCTTGTAGCCCCGACAGACTGATGAGGTACCGGGGCCACACATTGGTCGTCGAGATCAAGTGTCCAGCAAGGTGCGAGTTTGCACCCATTGTTGACGAGGTTACCAAGAAGATCTGTGTCAACTTCCTGGATCGTGAAGCTGGCAAGCTGGTTGTGAGAAAATCCCACAGCTACTACACGCAATTGCAGCTTCAACTTTACATTTTGAACTTGAGTCGAGCAGTTTTTTTTTTTTTTTTGAGCCCCAAGCAGACCAAGAAGATTTTCGTTAGCAGACACATGAGCCTTCTTGCAAAGGTTGTTGCAAAGCTAGAATTTTTTTTTTTCTTTCTTGCTCCAGGAACTTTGACAGACCACTTAAATTTCACCTTTTTACCCACTTCAGCTACAATCTGTCTCCGGGAACCTGCTGTTTTTCAACACTCACTCGTAGAACACTGCTTGTATTGTTGCCAGGGGGAACATTCTTTGTACAAATGCATGTAGCCTACGCCTTAAAGCGTTGTGAAGCTTGAGCCTTTGGATAGCTCTTTCAACATGGACTCTCACTTGTGCAATAGTTAAAGTGTCTTCCATGTCTTGCTTAGACAGTTGCCCTACTCCCACATTGAATGGCGACATCACAAGGATAACTCCCTCTTCTTCCACGGTTGTCTTTATGGCAGGAAAGCGCTTGTCGGCACATGACGACATCGCCTGGCCCCACAAGGGTCAAAAATCCAGAATCACGAGTGATAAAAGAATCTGAATGTCTCCCACCGTAGACCCCCGAAAGAAACGATACCATTCCGTTCGGAAGGATTGCCACAAGCCACTTCAAAGTGTAGCACCCTTTATAATGTGAGTAAAGATAGTGCTGTGCATCTGCATCTCTAGGCGTTTCCGTACGGACCTCAGTACAATCAATAATAAAACTACACATCGGGCACTGCTCCTTAAAGCACACTGGGGGTGTGTCCTTAATTGTTTGTCGAGGAGGCACAAACACCGAGTTGGCCAGCTTCACACTCAGGCAATCTAGTGTTACCCTAAAGACGCGCGATGCAGTCGACTTCCTGATGCCAAAGATGGCACCCAGTTCTGTTAAGCTGATTCCCAACTTCAATTTCATCAAAAAGAGGACCACTATGTCCTCTTTGTTCACATCTGACGAACGGTACCGTTGCTCAGGTAGCATGTTGAACAGGACGGTGAACACTGTTGCAGTCACGCAGCAAAGATCCTAAAATAGGTGCTCTGACGTCTTCATAGACTCGTATCTTAGAAAACCACATCTCCTTGCCCAAGGCTTTTCAGGAGGGGGGACCTAGAATCGAAATAGTACAGTTGCACATATTTAAGACATCAATATTTTAAGGCCAAGAAGCAGTATACTAATTGTCTACTATACTCATTTTCTAGTCAAGACTAAGGCTAGTTCTATGCATGATTCATTGCTGAGCAAAGTAGTACATACAACATTTGGATGTCAGATAAAAGACAATAAATTTCGCATTGGAAATGTGTGCGTCCTAATGATATAACTAACTGATCTTAAATTAAAATTCAAGTATCCTAATTCGCCACATAAAGGGAAAAATTAGAATGCTCCACAAAAAGTCGAACATTTTTTGTGCAGTTCTTGAGGTGAAAACGAGTACACACGAACTCTGCTGTCAAGTCACGGCACGGTAGTGGCGCGTAGGGCACACTTCAGGTCTGAAGTTGTGGGCGAAAGTCAACAGAAATTCCTATGTGGGACAAGTATTGCTGTGTTTGTTTGGAAGAAACCAAACAAAAACCCGCCTTCTTGTAAAAACGCCATGACTGGGGCTGTACCAAAAGAGTTGGGAAAGTTTTGAAGGTCAGTTTTTGTGTTTGCTGCCTGCATGGTTCGTCCGAGATGGTGAAAAAGGAAAACCAGACGCCGTCGTACCACAATTGCTTGCGCGGCAAGCACTCTGGTTTGAATTCACGGGTACTTGTGGTCGTCAGAATTATTTGCTTTGTTAAAACACGAACGCAGGAAAACCACAAAGTTGCGCAGACCACCTGTGGATTACGTTCAGTGCGTCTTCAAGTTAAAAAGGCCGCCTGATCTTTTGAACTGTCTGCTCATTCAAACTTTCTGCTTGTTGTCGTCTGCTCGTTCAAACGACAGCGTCCCGTAGACCGCACGTTGACCCGGTAATTGCGGCAAGCAAGTGCAGGCCTCAAAAGATTGAAGTTTGAAGGTTTGTAGGGGTAAGTAGGCTCGGTGTGGACATACAAGGAGATGTTGATATTTGTTACCAGTGGCCATCACCGACTTGTTATGACAATTCGCTTGGTTAGATTCTGCTTGCGATTTTCAGTACCGACGTCGACCATATCAGCTACGATTCACATTATTGCAGCCCGAGCGGTGTCGTGAGTGAAAATAGCAAGCAGAATCTCATGTGAATCAGGCTTTAGCGTCCACGCGGAATGAATTGTGCATGTCAGATTATTCACGCGAGGTTTTGCAGTGTAGCAAGCCTCGTTAATTTCGCAGAGGCCGCTAAAGTAGTCGGACATTGCCAGGAAGACGTAGAATCAACAATTCCAACGCGAAAACGAGCACGGGGACTCCCACCGACGCCGAAAACATCACATTCCAATGGTTTGTTTATGGGCGATAGCGAGCTTCATGCCCGCACTCCGTCGTGCATGCGCAGCACCGTTGGCGTCCGCTAGGGGTGCTCTGGTTTGTTGATAAACATGAGTTGGTCTATATGTGATTCATGTAATGGCTCTTTTCCACATACTGACGGCACCAGGCGGTGGCTGCACGAAGTAAAAACCGAGGAAGTGACCTGCACTACCAATTGATAATGGGAGCTACGCTATCAGTTTCTTCGCTATCCGAGAAGAAGAAGCGAAGGGCGCGAGCGTGCACAGCTTCGATCGGCGCTCTGCGAACAATCAGCTTCAAAGGCGAAAAATACCCCAAACCTTCCAGCAAGAACCACAACACCGGGTGCCTAAAGGTATTTGCTACCCGAGGACACCACGTTTATGGAAATCGGACCACCGCCTGGCCTTGTTCAGCCAATTCCTCCTACCGACGGGCCGGCGCCCCACTAACCCTAACGAGGAATACGGCACCTGCAGCAGGCCAGCGGCGGGGGCGGAGCCCTCCCCAAGGCACCGAGACCCAAGATGGATTACGTCGAAGTGGCAGGTGAGGACATCTCACCGGAAGAGTGTACAGCAGAGGCCGGCTGGCTCGTGAGCCACCGACAACGGGGCACACGAGCCCTCAACAAGCTAGGCCTCACGGCGACGAGCACAGCCAAAAACGACGCAGGTGGCCGGACAGGAAACCGAAAACCACTTCAGAGACACAGGAAACAGCGTCAGCAACCAGCCCTCCCACGCGAGGACATAAAAATCATTCTGCGGCCACGAGAGGGCCTCGATGTTACCAAGGTGAGCTCCGCGAGGCTACGCGACGGCGTATTTTGCGCCATCGGTCTCAAAGAGCAGGAAGCCGAGGGAGACCTGCTACGGGTCAACCCGGAGAAAAACATCATCGTGACAAGCACACCAAGCATGGAACGAGCTAAGAAATATAACTCCATTTCAAAAATCTGCATCGCAGGCAAGACCTATGAAGTCACCGCGTACGCGGCGCCGCCAGAGGATACTGCTAAGGGGGTTATACATAATATCCCAGATTATGACACCGCGGAAGACATTACGCGCAGCCTTGTCTACAACAAGAACCCTACCATCCTTCAGGCACAAAGAATGGGAAAAACCAACTCGGCGGTCATCGTCTTTGAGGGCAACAAAGTGCCCTATTATGTATATTACCGTGGAGCGGAGTACCGGTGTTTCTTACATAAAAAAAAGCACGAAGTGTGCTCCACCTGCGGAAAAGTGGGACACCGCATGGACGTCTGCCCGACGCCCGAAGACAAAATATGCCGCTCTTGCGGTGCAAAGAATCCACGAGAAGGGCATAAATGTGACCCCAAGTGTGCCCTGTGCTGTGGGGATCATCCCACTGGAGACAAAAACTGTAATAACCGGTTCCAAACGCCGTACCTACTACGGAAGAGACAGCGAGAAAAAGAACGTCAGAATGGCGCTGGTCAATATGGCGGGCACCGAAACGCAGAGTCGACGTCCGTTCTGGGTGACAGCGAGGGCGGCGGGAGAACGAAAGAAAGGGGGACGAGAGATCGTTCGGGCTCCTTCCCACGTCTACCCCACCGCGGATCAGGGAGCGACAACGACGCGGGACAGCGGCAGCAGCGCCGGTCAAGATCTAAGTCAAGATGCCGAAGCCCTAACACCCAAGGCCGACATGAGTCAAGATCGACATCCCGAGGCGGCCGACACGAGACTCCGGGAGGAACCAAGCAGAACAAGGTGAGCTGGGCTAGCACGGTCTCCCACAGCTCGGCTCCGCAGAATGCAAAGAAAAAGATTAGCAACCAAACTAGCGCGCAACAGGCAGACAGGCAGCAACAGGGGGAACTCACCAAAATCAAGCAAATGCTAGAGATGGTAGTCGCCGAGAATACAAAGCTAAAAGCTGAAGTGGCAAAACTAAGAGGAAGCGAAAACGCCGACAAACTAGTCCCCGAAACGCAGGGTCCCTCGAAATCGCAGGCCCCACCGCCAGACCAGGGCAAGGCAAACACACCACGACCCACACAGGTCCTGCTAGCTGAGGACTCGTTCAGTGACGAGATGGAAAACTCGGAGCCCGAGTCTCCTCCCCCGAAGCGTAAGGCGAAAGACCCAACAATAACAAACATCCCAAGGCTCCCAAAGAGAGCAGAAAAAAGGGACGCAGAGACACTGCAGCATTTCGGGGAGAAGCTGAGCGAAATGCTCACCACAAAATTCGAAGCCATGCTGGCGAAATTTGCCGAGAGCATAGGCACGCAAATCGCAGCACTTAACGCTAGGGTAACGGCGATTGAGGCCACCTCACCGCGCTTCACCGGCGGGGGAGGAGGAGCAGGGCCGATGAAATCCACCAAGCCTTATGCCAGACCCGTATCATTGGAAAGCGCTAGAACAAGCCCAGAAAGTACACAGCTTAAGGATTATGGCACCGAATAATCACAAATACATAATTTGGCAGTGGAATTGCCGCGGGTACCGCCGCAAAAGGGGGAACCTACAGCAATTCATAGACAATAAAATAGCAGGAGAGGCGCCAGACGTCATTTGCCTGCAAGAAACGGGAGCTTTGGCTAAACTTTCGGGGTACAAACCGTACTACAGTGAGGAGGAACCGGCCTCGGACGATAAACGTATAACAGTAGCGACCCTCGTTAGACGTAATCTGCCGGTTATACGGCGCGATACCGGCATAACTACCGTGGACCACGTCCTCGTGGAGATCATCTCAAGCCAAAAAAGGGGCATGGGAAGCCTATTTGTATTAAACGTATACAGCAACCCACGCAAGCAACATAGATTCGCGAACCTGTTTCGCAAGACATTAGACATTGCAAAGCGTCAAACACTAGTGATAGTAGGTGATTTCAACGCACACCACCCAGCCTGGGGATACAAGCGGGAAATGATCAAAGGACGGAATCTCTGGCTGGATGCCCAGCAGGAGAGGCTGTCTCTGGTCACCGACCCCGCGTACCCCACTAGGTTGGGAAACAGCGTATGTGCGGACACCACGCCGGACCTAACATTCACAAAGAATGCTAAAAAGGAAGCCGAGTGGCTAAACACGCAGGAAAATCTAGGAAGTGACCACTATATAGTGGCCACAAAACTAGAAGCGGGCCCCCACAAACCAAAAAAGGGCACGCAGCTTAAGATCGTCGAGTGGGACGAGTTCAGGGAACTAAGAGCAGCCGAACGTTATTCATGCGAGGACAAAACAGGGACGCACGAGATTGAGGACATCGAGTCGTGGGTCGAACAGCTTCACACATGCGTACAGAAAGCAACAAAGACCATTCCGGAGGAAGCCGAACTAACACAAGCCGACGCTAAGCTTCTGCACATGTGGGAAGCGAAGCAAGGCTTGCAGAAAAGGTTAAACAAACAAAAACTAAACCGCGCACTTCGTCGACGTCTAGCGATCCTTAATAAAACAATAGAGGACTACGCAAACCAGCTGTCGCTCCAAAACTGGCACAGCACGTGCGACGGTATGGAACTACAGATGGGCCTTGCAAGAACCTGGAATATCCTTAGGTACTTAATCGACCCAGATAAAAGTAAGACCACGCAGAAACACAATTTAAGTAAAATTCTGCACACCTACCAGGGCACGAACGATGACCTAATCAAGGAAGTCCGCAACAGATACATCGGGACCAATCCAAAAGAACAACTTAGAACATACGCTGGAGCCTCGAATGAGACTCTTGACCAACCGTTTACGACGGCGGAGGTGCGGGGAGCCATACTAGGTCTCCGCACCAAATCCGTTCCGGGTCCGGACGGGGTAACAAACACAATGCTGAGGAATCTAGATGACGACTCCATCGAGGCTCTCACCAAGTACATGAACAAGTGCTGGAAGGACGGTAAAATCCCCACACAATGGAAGACCGCTAAGGTTATCATGATACCGAAACCGGGCAAAAAGCTAAATCTGGAGACCCTGCGGCCCATCTCGCTCACCTCATGCGTGGGGAAGCTGATGGAGCACACAGTGTTAAACAGACTAAACAAGTATATGGATGAGAAGGGACTCTTTCCCCATACCATGATAGGTTTTCGGCCCAGGCTCTCGACTCAGGACGTGATGCTGAGGCTCCAACATCAAATTATAGATGGGGAGGAATGTTCCCCGCTAGACACCAGGGCCATTGTGGGGCTCGACCTCACAAAGGCGTTTGATAATGTAAAACACGCAGCAATTCTAGAGAACTTAGAACAGTTGGAGGTAGGTCAAAGGACCTACGACTACATCAGGGATTTTTTATCTGACAGGACGGTCACCCTGACAGTAGGGGGGGTTGAGTCTGGCGAGCTGGAGTTGGGGAGCAGAGGCACGCCGCAAGGCTCTGTCCTCTCGCCTTTCCTCTTCAACGTCGCTATGATCGGCCTGCCCAGCCTCTTAGAGAAAATACATGGCCTAAATCACAGCCTGTATGCTGACGACGTCACACTCTGGGTGGCTGGCGGCAGCGACGGGCACGTGCAGGACACACTACAGCAGGCAATAAACGCGGTGGAAGGGTACGTGGAACCGAAAGGCTTAAGCTGCTCCCCACAAAAATCGGAGCTGCTCCTTTATCGGCCAACCCGGAGAGGGCAGAAAAAGGAAGCAACCACCGAAAAACCACGAATTCATCTATACGCTTGCGGGGGGCTGCCCATCCCGGTAGTACACAGCATTAGGGTCTTAGGCTTGAAAATTCAGGAGAACGGCCACAACATCGAGACAATCCGAACACTCGAAAAAAGTGTGTGTCAAACCACCCGCCTCATTTCGCGGATAGCCAATAGGCATCACGGAATGAAGGAGGGCAACTTAATCAGGCTGGTCCAGGCATTCGTCCTGAGTCGAGTAACCTATGTCGCTCCCTTCCTTGACCTCAAGGCAGATGAGCGCAACAAAATCAACGCTTTAATAAAAAGGGCTTACAAGCAGGCAATTGGCATACCAATCACGACCTCCAACGAGCGCTTTGAAGCACTAGGATTGCACAACACGCTAGACGAGCTTGTAGAAGCACAGAGGATAGCGCAGATGGAAAGGCTCACCAAGAGTCCGACTGGCAGACACATCCTCCAGACGCTACATATCAACTACGAAGGAAGACTCGGGGAAAAACACGACATTCCACCCGATATCAGGGTGCATATACATATCCCACCATTACCAAGAAACATGCACCCCGAACACAATACGGAACGCAGGCAGGCCAGAGCACAAGCACTAGATAAAAGGTTCGCACACCTCGAGGACGTGGTTTACGTGGATGCCGCAGATTACAGTAGTCGCGACGCCATGGCCACATCGGTAGTTGATCGAGAGGGCAAGTTAATTAATTCTGGCACGGTCTTCACGACTTCATCCGAGGTTGGGGAGGAAGCAGCCATTGCACTGGCAATGACCTCGTCCTCCCAGATCAAATTCATAGTAAGCGACTCCAAGCCGGCAATTTTAAATTACACGAGGGGACGCATATCGTCCGAGGCACTCAAAATTCTACGGACCGGTTTCCACGGAGATCGAGTTAGGGGAGTTCACATCGTGTGGGCGCCAGCTCACTCTGGCCTCCCGGGGAATGAGAAGGCGCACGACGCGGCTCGAGGCTTAACCGACCGGGCCGACGTCACCAACATCTTTGACGCACACTCGTTCCGCCGGTCGGACAGAGACAGGCTGGTTGCCTATCGGGACGTGATGAACCACTACAGGCTGGGAAGGGCTAAATACCCCGCAGCAGACAGGACTCTGTCCAAATGGCAGGCAGTGGCGTGGCGCCGTCTTCAAACTAATACATTTCCAAACCCCGTGGCGTACAGTCACTGCTATCCGGGGCTTTACTCCAGCGCATGTAAGCATTGCGGGGACAGGGCCGACCTGCAACATATGGTCTGGGCCTGCCCCTTTAAAAAACATAGAAACAACAGAAATAGAACTCAAACTTTAATGCTAAACATTAGAACCTCCGAGCAGTGGGAGACCGTGCTGCTCAGCTCGGACCCGGGTGAACAGGTCCGTCTGGTCCAGATGGCCGAGGCCGCCGCCAAGGAACAAGAACTCCTGGCCGCCGACTGAGGGGGGAGAGGGGGAGGCTCTCTCAGCACTCCCCCTTCCCTGACCCCATCTATGGGCAAATTAAATGTTGTCATCATCATCATCGCTATCCGAGCTGCGGCACGTGCGCAATGGCACGCGAGCCACACGTGCAGTACGAAGGTATGCACCCAGGGACTTTCATACCTCCTGATCAGCTTCGTAGGGACAACCAAGCACCTCTGTGCTTAGGAAATTTAGAAAAAGGTACATTGGGACGCTGTCTGCTATTGTGTGCTATCAATACCTCGCCGATTGAGTCACAGCAATCCACTTTCCAAACACGTTGCCATGCCAACAATTATTGCATTCATTTAGGCTTAGGAATGGTTCTAAAAATGCGGCGAGGTCATTGCTCATGCTTTGTGATTTAAGTGAGGTAAGACAAAGCGAAAGCTTCCCGCACCATTCATTGCTGACTAACTCGCCCGATATTGCAGCTACAACGACATATCAGTTTTAAAGCAACAGATACATCGGGACCAATCCAAAAGAACAACTTAGAACATACGCTGGAGCCTCGAATGAGACTCTTGACCAACCGTTTACGACGGCGGAGGTGCGGGGAGCCATACTAGGTCTCCGCACCAAATCCGTTCCGGGTCCGGACGGGGTAACAAACACAATGCTGAGGAATCTAGATGACGACTCCATCGAGGCTCTCACCAAGTACATGAACAAGTGCTGGAAGGACGGTAAAATCCCCACACAATGGAAGACCGCTAAGGTTATCATGATACCGAAACCGGGCAAAAAGCTAAATCTGGAGACCCTGCGGCCCATCTCGCTCACCTCATGCGTGGGGAAGCTGATGGAGCACACAGTGTTAAACAGACTAAACAAGTATATGGATGAGAAGGGACTCTTTCCCCATACCATGATAGGTTTTCGGCCCAGGCTCTCGACTCAGGACGTGATGCTGAGGCTCCAACATCAAATTATAGATGGGGAGGAATGTTCCCCGCTAGACACCAGGGCCATTGTGGGGCTCGACCTCACAAAGGCGTTTGATAATGTAAAACACGCAGCAATTCTAGAGAACTTAGAACAGTTGGAGGTAGGTCAAAGGACCTACGACTACATCAGGGATTTTTTATCTGACAGGACGGTCACCCTGACAGTAGGGGGGGTTGAGTCTGGCGAGCTGGAGTTGGGGAGCAGAGGCACGCCGCAAGGCTCTGTCCTCTCGCCTTTCCTCTTCAACGTCGCTATGATCGGCCTGCCCAGCCTCTTAGAGAAAATACATGGCCTAAATCACAGCCTGTATGCTGACGACGTCACACTCTGGGTGGCTGGCGGCAGCGACGGGCACGTGCAGGACACACTACAGCAGGCAATAAACGCGGTGGAAGGGTACGTGGAACCGAAAGGCTTAAGCTGCTCCCCACAAAAATCGGAGCTGCTCCTTTATCGGCCAACCCGGAGAGGGCAGAAAAAGGAAGCAACCACCGAAAAACCACGAATTCATCTATACGCTTGCGGGGGGCTGCCCATCCCGGTAGTACACAGCATTAGGGTCTTAGGCTTGAAAATTCAGGAGAACGGCCACAACATCGAGACAATCCGAACACTCGAAAAAAGTGTGTGTCAAACCACCCGCCTCATTTCGCGGATAGCCAATAGGCATCACGGAATGAAGGAGGGCAACTTAATCAGGCTGGTCCAGGCATTCGTCCTGAGTCGAGTAACCTATGTCGCTCCCTTCCTTGACCTCAAGGCAGATGAGCGCAACAAAATCAACGCTTTAATAAAAAGGGCTTACAAGCAGGCAATTGGCATACCAATCACGACCTCCAACGAGCGCTTTGAAGCACTAGGATTGCACAACACGCTAGACGAGCTTGTAGAAGCACAGAGGATAGCGCAGATGGAAAGGCTCACCAAGAGTCCGACTGGCAGACACATCCTCCAGACGCTACATATCAACTACGAAGGAAGACTCGGGGAAAAACACGACATTCCACCCGATATCAGGGTGCATATACATATCCCACCATTACCAAGAAACATGCACCCCGAACACAATACGGAACGCAGGCAGGCCAGAGCACAAGCACTAGATAAAAGGTTCGCACACCTCGAGGACGTGGTTTACGTGGATGCCGCAGATTACAGTAGTCGCGACGCCATGGCCACATCGGTAGTTGATCGAGAGGGCAAGTTAATTAATTCTGGCACGGTCTTCACGACTTCATCCGAGGTTGGGGAGGAAGCAGCCATTGCACTGGCAATGACCTCGTCCTCCCAGATCAAATTCATAGTAAGCGACTCCAAGCCGGCAATTTTAAATTACACGAGGGGACGCATATCGTCCGAGGCACTCAAAATTCTACGGACCGGTTTCCACGGAGATCGAGTTAGGGGAGTTCACATCGTGTGGGCGCCAGCTCACTCTGGCCTCCCGGGGAATGAGAAGGCGCACGACGCGGCTCGAGGCTTAACCGACCGGGCCGACGTCACCAACATCTTTGACGCACACTCGTTCCGCCGGTCGGACAGAGACAGGCTGGTTGCCTATCGGGACGTGATGAACCACTACAGGCTGGGAAGGGCTAAATACCCCGCAGCAGACAGGACTCTGTCCAAATGGCAGGCAGTGGCGTGGCGCCGTCTTCAAACTAATACATTTCCAAACCCCGTGGCGTACAGTCACTGCTATCCGGGGCTTTACTCCAGCGCATGTAAGCATTGCGGGGACAGGGCCGACCTGCAACATATGGTCTGGGCCTGCCCCTTTAAAAAACATAGAAACAACAGAAATAGAACTCAAACTTTAATGCTAAACATTAGAACCTCCGAGCAGTGGGAGACCGTGCTGCTCAGCTCGGACCCGGGTGAACAGGTCCGTCTGGTCCAGATGGCCGAGGCCGCCGCCAAGGAACAAGAACTCCTGGCCGCCGACTGAGGGGGGAGAGGGGGAGGCTCTCTCAGCACTCCCCCTTCCCTGACCCCATCTATGGGCAAATTAAATGTTGTCATCATCATCATCGCTATCCGAGCTGCGGCACGTGCGCAATGGCACGCGAGCCACACGTGCAGTACGAAGGTATGCACCTAGGGACTTTCATACCTCCTGATCAGCTTCGTAGGGACAACCAAGCACCTCTGTGCTTAGGAAATTTAGAAAAAGGTACATTGGGACGCTGTCTGCTATTGTGTGCTATCAATACCTTGCCGATTGAGTCAAAGCAATCCACTTTCCAAACACGTTGCCATGCCAACAATTATTGCATTCATTTAGGCTTAGGAATGGTTCTAAAAATGCGGCGAGGTCATTGCTCATGCTTTGTGATTTAAGTGAGGTAAGACAAAGCGAAAGCTTCCCGCACCATTCATTGCTGACTAACTCGCCCGATATTGCAGCTACAACGACATATCAGTTTTAAAGCGAGTTGCACTCACTCACCGGGGCACCGCCATGTTTCCCGCATCCTTACCGAGCCAGTCACACGATTTTAAAATCCCTCTCCTAGGTACTGCGGCTAACTTTAGCCGCGGTTAGTGCTTCGTGAAAAAGGGCCTAGAAGAATTAAGCGCGAGACACATGGACGGAAGAATCGTCCGATCCGACGTCCGATCCGACAGTCCGAACGCCGCTCCGAATCGCCGCACGCGACAGTTTGAGACACACGCTTCCGACCTTGCATGCGACACGACGATCCGTTTGGCTCCGCCCAGGAGATCCAGGCTCTCCAACGGAGGTCCGCGTTCACAGATCTCTGGTCCCAGATTGACGGTTTAGCTCACACGAGCAAACTTAGAAGCTCGTTCTCGTTCACGCGTGCATTCTTTGCCGGGGCCATCTTCCTCGAATGGGTCGGCGGGATCCACGCGTCCGGCTTCCCGTCGCCCGTCCCATTTTCTGATTCGTCCCGCCAGACCCAGTACGTCATCATGACGTTCGCGCTAGCTGTGCTGTCATTGGCTGGATGCATCCGACAATCCGTCCGCCGTGCGAAACTATCTGGCGCGTTGGACGAACGTCGGATCGGCGACGAACGTCGGATCGGCGATCCGACATGTGTCCAACGCGCCAGATAGTTTCGCGCTGCGGGCGGATTGTCGGATGCGTCCAGCCAATGACAGCACAGCTAGCGCGAACGTCATGATGGCGTACTGGGTCTGGCGGGACGAACCAGAAAGCGGGACGGGCTACGGGAAGCCGGACGCGTGGATCCTACTGACCCATTCGAGAAAGATAGCCCCGGCAAAAATGCACGCACTAACGAGAACGAGCTTCTAACTTCGCTCGTGTGAGCTAAACCGTCCATCTGGGACCAGAGATCTGTGAACGCGGACCTCCGCTGGGGTCCTTGGATCTCCTGGGCCTGGGCGGAGCCGAACGGATCGTCGTGCCGCATGCAAGGTCGGAAGCGTGTGTCTCCAACTGTCGCGTGCGGCGATTCGGAGCGGCGTTCGGACTGTCGGATCGGACGTCGGAACGGACGATTCTGCCGTCCACATCCGGGTCCGGCCATAGCCCGTCCGGCCCTGTCCCCCTCCCCCTTTGGCTTCTGGCGGCTGTTCACGGTAGCATGCTCACGGTTTTGTGGACCTAGGACAGATGGCGCCACTAAACCTCCGTATAATAAAAGTTTTGTCGATGATACCAGGTTTTTGACGCATTTATATATATGTTGGAACTACAAGATTTATAGAAAAGTTACCTTTTATCGAGCAGTTATTCGCACAACTTGCTATCTTGCATGCCTTGCATGCGACACGACGAGGAGATCCTAACGAGTGTCTGAAAAATAAACGTTCAGCTGTGTTTGAGACGTTGTGTTGTGTTCGTCCCCTTCTGTGTTCCTGAGTCTCGGGTTTTATTACCATGATATCCCAGCACTTCAGCGGAGGTCCGTGTTCATAGATCTCTGGTCCCAGATTGACGGTTTAGCTCGCACGAGCGAAGTTAGGAGCTTGTTCTCGCTAGCGTGTGCATTCTTTGCTGGGGCCATCTTTCTCGAACGGGTCAGCGGGATTCACGCGTCCGGCTTCCCCTCGCCCGTCCCGTTATCGCGTTCGCTTCGTCCCGCAAGACCCAGTACGTCATCATGACGTTCGCGCTAGCTGTGCTGTCATTGGCTGGACGCATCCTACAATCCGTCCGCCGTGCGAAACTATCTGGCGCGTTGGACGCACGTCGGATCGCCGATCCGGCGTCTGAAGCGACCACATTTTTCGGATCAGGCAGTCGTACTGCCGGATCGGACGTCTGATCGGATGGATTTGTCGCGCATGTGTCTCGCGCTTTAAGGCTGAACTCCATGCAACGAATTATGCGACGAATAACTGGCGAACGCCGCTCGACCGAAAACGAAAACGAAGCAGCATAAAAAGAGTGCCCTTCAAACGACAATACTAATAATTATTAAAAACTGCCGGACCTTCGCTGGAAAATCTGAGGCACGGTGGAGTAGTGGTCGCGATAAAAGTCTAAAGAAACAAAATAAATAGCCTAACGGTCGTCGGCGGCGTTGGCGGCGTCATGAGGCTCTTTTCAAGAATTCTGACGCCAAGACTCCCTCCCTCCTTCGTTTCAACGGTTTGTTTGGGACGTGGCATTCTCTAGGGTAAAGAAACAAAAAAGAAAAACAAGTAACCATTGCGAGCAACACCTTTCATCAAAGAACACGCCGCCCGAAAACGGCTCCCTTCTTTTTTTTTCTTTTTTTTAATTCTTTTTGTTACTTTATTTTGTTGTTGGGTCCGACTGTTCTCTTCTTTGTAACGATGCCGACCGTGGCAACCGTTCTGGTCATACGATTGGCGTTTCTTTTGTCACGCGATGACATGGCCCGACCGATTAGCCAATCAGTTCGTTAGAAGGGTGTCACGAGGTATAAAATGGCGGATCAAATAAAAATAATAAATGCAAAGAAGCGCGCATTTCTGCTCGTTTAGCCCCCTTGGCGCTTTATTCTTCCAGAGGCGAGCGTCGCAGTGCCATGGCGTTTAACTTGTGCCGTCTTCATGACGCCATGAACGACCCTCTTGAAGCAATTAATTTGCTTCAGGGCATGGGCCTGCTCCTGGCTTCTCGTGCTTGCCCAGAGTGCGAAGCTGCGATGACGCTGCAAGTCCGCGCTAGATCTGCGGATGGGTATTCGTGGAGATGCGGTTTGTGGATGACTCGTGAGGTGCCCAAGAGGAAGCCGGTCAAGGTTCAGTGCCGGGGCGAGGTCTCGGTACGGAGCGGTTCCTTTTTCGAGGGATCGCACCTGACGCTTCCCCAACTCATGAAGATCATCTACCTCTGGTGCCAGAACCTACCGTGCGCCGTCATTCAGCGGGAGACTGATGTCGCAAGTAAGACAATAACTGATTGGACGAGCCTTTGTCGGGAGGTTGTGGTAAATGCCGTCTTTACGCATTCAGAGATGATTGGCGGCGAAGGCGTGACTGTAGAACTAGACGAGAGTATGTTCGGGCGGCGAAAGTACCATCGCGGGTATTTAAGGCCTGGCCAGTGGGTTTTCGGCGGTGTGGAGCGTGGCAGCGGGTGCTGCTTTCTTGTTCCCGTGGAGACCCGTGACGCTAATACCCTGCTCGGGCTAATAGCCAAGTGGGTCCGCCCTGGAACAAGAATAATCACAGATTGTTGGGCTGGCTATCGCAAGCTTGCAGATGACGCTCGCTTCACGCACCTCACCGTTAACCACAAGCTGCACTTTGTCGACCCGAACACTGGTGCGCACACCAATACGGTGGAGGGCACCTGGGCCCACGTCAAAAACTCTCTTCCATCTGGACGGCGCGAGAGCCACCATTTCACTGGTCACCTTGCAAAGTTCATGTTTTGGAGGAGAGAGAAGGCGCGCGGAAACACTGACAGATTCCAGTCGTTCGTCGCCGCGGCCGCCAAAATCTATAGCCCCGACGCAGACAGGAATCTTCCCTATAGTGCGGAGGACGAGGATTCTGACGGCCCCGGTGACTTCGAGTAATCCGCTGCGCTGAGCCCGTCGCCCGCCTGCGTGCATAAAGACGACTTATGCGCCAACCGCTCGTCAAGTGCTCGTTACGTCAGTTATAGGTTCTGGTAGCGGTCTAAACGGTCCTTTTCAGGGCCCCCATATTTTGCAAACGGAGCTGTGTTTTGAATGCGGCACCCCGTGTCTCTGTAAAAAGTTCACAGGAAAGACCCAGCAAAGGTATGTGGTCCCCAACTTGGATATCGGGTGTTATGATTCAAATAAAAATTGTTCTTGCTTATTTCGCGCCCGTGATCCGAATAAATGCCGCAGTTGCAGTCGTCCCGCGGTGCTGTTGCTCGCCCATTCGCCGTCGGCGTGCCTCAGCTTCGTCGTCTTTGCTAGCGGCGCACCGGCGAAGCCGGCCTTTGATCCGAATAAATGCCGCCGTTGCAGTCGTCCCGCGGTGTTGTTGCTTGCTCGATCGCCGTCGGCGTGTCTCAGCTTCGTCGTCTTTGCTTGCGGCGCACCGGCGGAGGCGGTTGATCTGACACACCGCGTTCGACTGTGGCTAGCAGACGGCGTTCGTAAAATGGCGTCAGCTGTTGCTGGCTTCACGCGGCGGTACCGTGCGTGCTTCTATTCATTCGGTGTTCGTTGCCATGGTGACGACGAGGAAAGCAGACGAACTTTTTGATGCGGAAGAACGCTGCGGCGCAGCGATACCAGGTGCGTTCTAAGGCCCTTCCCGCATGCTTTTCAATGGGCGGAAAGCGAACAAAAAGAGTTCGAAATAAGGACTTAACGCAGAAGGCTGCATTTCTCCAGCGCCTCATGATTTGACGAGCCTTGCACGAAAAGCATGTTTTTTTGGCCATCCCGCGTCCTGTTTTTTCTATCCGTAACATGGGTCTAAAGTATCAAACTGCCGTTCGATCTGCATTGTTTGTGTTGAGGAAATCGAAGAGAAGAAAGAAGAAGGCACGAGGAATTGAAGTACCGATCGAAACTTTGGAAAGATGAAGATGAGGGTGTTGTTCTTTTTACCATTAAAGGAGCTGTGCAACGATATTCAATTGGAATGTTTTTCTCTCTACACGAGCTTACTGGCACACCTGGGACTCAAGGACACTCACACGCAACGCCATCGGCCAAGAAACTCCTTTGTTGCGGTGTAATTTCAAGGACAAAAGCGATCATTTTCATTCAATCTCTCCTTTGCAAAATTTGATGACGTAACTCGGGGATCGCAGTACACCCAAGTGACGATATTTGAATGCGGTTCATAGATTGGACCCGAGCATTGCGTGGGCACTCGACTTGGGCTCGTGACAATTGCTAGCTCGAGAAGCATTCGGGTTCTGACCCGTGTCCATTCGCTGCAACGACGACAACAGCCGAGCCATAACAATGTCTGGAACTCAGCGCGTGTCCTGCGCTTTGCCAACCCCAGCGCGTGGCTATGATCAACACTGGCGGCATATAATCGGCTCCAGATCTCGTGGCCGCTTGTCCAGGCTGCGAGTTGAGGGGGTGAACGGTGCTCGTTTTTCTTTAATTTTTTCTGGAACTTCTAGTGCGTCGGGTGAAAAACGAACGTGTGTTTCATAGGTCATTAACGCCAGGGATTCGTTTTAAGCGGTAATTGCGCAAAGTAAAAAAATTGTTGCATTGCCCCTTTAAACCCAACGGTCACATAGACCTTCTGATGCTAAAGTCCACCGTCTCAGTGATAGATCTTTAAGAATTCCACATGGTGCCGAAACCCGGGAGAAAGCTTCAAGTCATCGTATCGTGCTCAACAAGACGTTGCGAAGGCAAGTGAAACGGAAATCTTATTGATCACAAAGAGCCAAACGACGGAAGCATTACGACCGGGAGAAGTAACGCGAAGATAAACTCTTCGGCTTAGAGATCTACAAGGTTGGAAACGGCATCAGCTGACCACTGAGCTCACAAATAGCCATGGATCGGTTGAAAGCCAAGCGTTCAGCCCGACGAGCCCAGAACACGCGGCTGATTAACGACGCCGATACGATCTTGAACGATCCACAGACAGACTTAGGCAGGCTCCACGCGGTCAAGGATCGGCTGTCTGCCAGCAACATCGAGCTAGACCGCATCAACGAGGAGCTGGAGCCACTATTGCAAACCACGGAGCTGGAAAATGAGTACTCTTCGGTAGCCGAATACCAAGACCACGCCATCAGGGTTCTCGCAGAGCTGCGATACAAGATCGAACACCTGGAGATCACCAGACGTAACCCTGTTCCTCCTACAACGGCCCCATTACAAGGCGCTTCTGAAGGTATCCCCCCAGTGAGTGGTCCAAGATTGCCGAAACTGGACATAACCATTTTTAAAGGTGACATCAGCCACTGGCGCACTTTCTGGGAGCAATTTAATGGAACAATCCACTCAAGTCGGGCATTGTCTACAACTGACAAGTTCCATTACTTACGACGCTACCTCGCAGGCGATGCAGCATTGGCAATTGCCGGGTTACCGACGACCGAGCGGTGCTATGCAGATGCTATTGAACTCCTGAAACAGCGCTTCGGAGATCCCAAAAGAATAGAGCAGGAGCACCTATCAGCACTGCGAAACCTTCCTCAGATTCGATCTTCGGTTGACACCCGGGGTCTTCGCAAGCTTTATGATTCAACGCAGCTGAACATACGTTGCCTCAACCCTAGATGTTCCAACTGCAAGTTTTGCGGCAATGCTCAGCGACATTCTGATGAAGGCAATGCCATATGACATCGTCGTGCAATATCATCGGCAAGTCAGCTACAAGCTCTCAAGCAATGCAAATGTGATGCAGGGCGACGGTTCCACATCAGAGACATCCAATGCCACTTCGAATCTCAATGAGATTCTCAGTTTCCTCCGCATCGAAGTAGAAAGCAGAGAGCGAAGCGGCCACCCCGCAGTTCGAGGCAAGGAGCAAACAGACGAAACGAAGCACCAGTCCCGGCCGGCGGCATCAGCGCTCCATAGTGCGGCACCTTCAGTGCCAGGGGAATGCCTTTTTTGTCACTCGAAGAAGCACGAGACACAATTTTGCGATGCTCAGGAGACGCTATACAACAAAAAGAAGATGTTAGGAAGAGATGGGAGATGCTTCCGGTGTACTACAAAAGGGCATCGTGCTAGGGATTGCCGAAAAAGATTGATTTGCTCATCATGCGGTGGTCGACATGCCGTCACTATGTGTGACCCGTCATACACACGAACAAAAGAAGGAGCAGTCGCCTGTGTGTCTTCGTCTAAGCCGTATGAAAAGAGAGATGACTCGTGTCAACGGACAATCGGAAATCGAGTCCACCTACAGACATTTAAAGCATGGGTCATCAACAAGGACACCGGCCGATATATAAGGGGAATTCTGGACGGAGGCAGTCAGCGATCATTTATTCAAGAAGACTTGGCGCAGCGATTGGATCTCAAGATTCTGCGGAAGACGAAGCTTAAACTGAACACGTTTGGCAGCACTACCAGCAAGGAGCTTGAACATAGCAATGTAGTGGAGGTCCGCCTCAAGAGTCAATTTGACGATAGCGAGTGCTTAATCGAAGCGGTAACCATTCCGGTTATTTGCCAGGACATTGCAGCGCAAATTTCTGAGGACAGTTTTGTAGAGTTCTTACGCCTGCAAAATAGAAATCTAGCAGATGACACAGTGGTTCCAGATGTGCAAGTTACGCCGGGAATTAGCTTACTTACTGGATCCGACCAAGTTTGGAAAATCCTCACAGGAGAGGCCGTGAGATGTAAGGAAAGCGAGGGGCTGGTGGCGCTCAACACGAAAATAGGTTGGACTTTGCAGGGACCGTCTATACCAAAAGGAATCTTGACGTCCGCATCGACTTTGATGGTATGTGTACTGAACACTCAAACTTTGACAGAGGATAAAATTACATCCGAATTACTAAAAGCCTTCTGGGAGCTGGATGCCATGGGAATTTCGGCTAAGGAAGCTGCGGACGACAATCTAAGCCTCTGCGCATATTTTGAAGACAACATAGTCAAAGATGGCCAACGGTACGAAGTAGCGTTTCCTTGGAAGAAGGATTGCACAGAGCCCTTGCAGAACAATCGAGACATAGCAGTCTCACGCTTGCGTTCGCTTCTCAGACGACTTTCATCCAAAGAGGGCTTACTTCATCGGTACGACACCACCATCCGTCAGTACATAAAGTTAGGTCATGCGGAAGTGGTACCATCCGACTTGGAAGGTGATAACAACAAACGCATCTATTACATGCCACACCGAGAAGTTGTCCGGGAGGAGTCTACAACCACAAAGCTACGAGTAGTCTTCGACGCTTCGTCACATGCAAAAGGATGCAAGTTTCTCAATGACTGCCTGGAAAAGGGACCAAACCTGAATCCAGGCATCCTCCAGATCCTTCTTCGGTTCAGATGGTATGCGATCGCCTTGACAGCTGACATTGAAAAGGCTTTCCTTCAGATAAAAATCAGTCAAGAAGACCGTGATGCGGTCAGATTCCTGTGGTTTGCCAATGAGCCCCACCGGGCCATTTGATTTAGAAAGCTTACAGGAATGGCGAATGACCAGAGTCCCTTTCGGGGTATCCTCCAGTCCTTTTCTATTGTCTGGGACAATTCAACACCACCTAAAAAATGTGGCTGCTACAAAGAACATTGCTGAAAAAATGAGGAGCTCTTTTTATGTCGATGACATTTTGATGGGTGCCGACACGGTCGAAGAAGCGATTACGCTATACGAAACGTCTAACTCTATCATGAAGGATGCGGGCATGAACTTGAGAAAATGGGCCTCCAACGACAAGCGCGTGCAGCACATAATGAACGAAGCGGAAGCAGATGCGGTACCGGCAGACACGAACCTTAAGCTGTCTAGAATCTCCAAGGTGCTGGGAATGATTTGGGACAAGGACAGTGACAGTTTCAAGTTTTCGGTGGGCTCTCTTACATCATTCCTTCAGACAAAAGTGGACACCAAGCGTTCCATTCTGCAAGCTGCGTCAAGAATATTGATCCCATGGGATTCATTGCCCCTTTCACTATACGAGCTAAGCTCCTTTTCCAGAAACTATGGAAACTGGGAGTGAACTGGGATGAAGAAATACCTGAGGAACTATATGTCGAATGGTCCAACTGTTGCAGAGACATTCCTAACATCTACGCAGTACATGTGCCAAGACACATTAAGAATGGACAAAAAACACCGTTTAAAGAAGTCCAGTTGCACATATTCGTGGACGCCAGCACACAGGCATATGGAGCATGCGCCTATCTAAGAATCGAAGATAACAGCGGGGACGTTGGGACTACCTTAGTTACCGCAAAGGCAAGAGTGGCGCCTCTTAAGGTATTGTCTTTGCCACGATTGGAGCTCATGGGAGCCACAATTGGAACGAGGCTGCTGGAATACCTAGGTTGTACGTACACAGAGCTTAAAGAAACATACACCATGTGGACCGACTCGACAGTTGTGCTAAGTTGGATAAGAGGTCCGGCGAGCAGGTGGAAGCCATTTGTCAAACACCGCGTTCTAGAAATTCAAACTAAGAGCGTGCCAGAGAAATGGAGACATTGCCCGGGAGACACTAACCCAGCAGACCTGCTGACAAGAGGAGAATCTCCATCGATTCTTCGCGATAGCTGTCTGTGGTGGAAAGGGCCGAAATGGCTCATTTCTGGAGCAGATGACTGGCCGGAAACCCCACCTCAATTAGGGGAATTCAATGAGCTCGAAACAAATGAGTTGAAACCGACCCAGGTGTACCTGCAGACAGATGGTCAAGAAACGGCCGCACTTTTTGATCTAAAGAAGTGCAACGGGTATCAGAAGGTGCTTAGAATAACAGCCTGGGTGACGAGGTTTGCGCGTAACAGCAGTTCTAAAGAAAATAGACAAGTCGGCCAATTGGAGGCCGTAGAATATGCTGCAGCAGAACAATATTGGATAAAGCAAGCTCAAGGACAAGCCTTCTCAAGGGAGATTCAGTTACTTTCTAGCAATCAGGACATTGAGCCGGCCTCTCCTCTTTCGGATCTGCACCCATTTCTGGACCATGATAATACGCTCAAGGTAACGGGACGGCTGCAACAATTCAACGCCCCTTGCTCCGTGACACAGCCAATCATATTACCGAACGATCATCATCTGACTGAGCTGATTATTATGGATGCTCATTATCAAGTCGGCCATGAAGGAGTATCTAGCACCATGGCCACCCTCCGACAGCGATTTTGGATACCTCGAGCACGACAGGTAATTAAGAAGACTATCCGAAACTGTCTTCTATGTTCGAGGTTTCGCACGAAGCCTACACTTGTGCCGTTCGCTCCCCTTCCAGCGGAACGAGTGAATGTTGCAAAGCCGTTTGAGATCTCAGGCATTGACTTCGCAGGACCTTTATATGTGAAGGCAGCGAGTGCAGGAACTAGCAGCTCTAAGGCGTATATTGTCTTGTTTACGTGCGCGACAACAAGAGCTGTCCATCTGGAGCTCTCGAGCGACCTCTCCACGGAAGCGTTTCTTCTAGCATTTCGAAGGTTCATTTCCCGAAGGGGAATACCAAGTACAATATACTCTGACAATGCTACTTCCTTCAAGAGGGCGTCGGCTGACCTAAGGGTAATTTGGAACTCCCTGAGTCATCCGGACTTACCGTCATACCTTGCTGAACGGAGAATTAGATGGAAATTTATTGTTGAAAGCGCTCCCTGGTGGGGAGGATGGTGGGAGAGGTTAGTTCGCTCAGTAAAGGTAGTTTTAAGGAAAGTTTTGGGAAGAAGCAGTCTCAAGTTTGAAGAGCTAGCAACGGTGCTTGTAGAAGCAGAAGCCATTATTAATTCCCGACTATTAACATACGTTTACTCCGACCTCAAGGAGCCGACACCTGTCAGTCCAGCTCATTTTCTAATTGGACAAAGCCTCATTGTTCTTCCGGAAGTCGGCTCAAACTCTCAGCTTCCCAAGACCATGACTCACAGGGAATCCACTCGGAGGCTGAGGTATAGACAACTGATTATGGACCACTTTTGGAATCGGTGGTGTAAAGAGTATATCGTGCAACTGCGATCGGCTCATCTAGGGTGCCTCAATGTCCTTCTGTTAAGGGTGATGCACCCTTTGTAGTACCCGATGCCGACAGCACGCGCTCACGGGTAAAATACAAAGAAATCGACGAAAACAAAATGTCGCCGTAGCACAGTCAGCGCCACGAGTGCGTGCAGGGACACGTTCCTTCACGCGCTTCTGAACAAAAAATAAAAATAAAAGTGTGAGACAAAATGGCCAGATGTCTCCACCCTAAGCCAAGCGCACATGAAGGCACCCTAGGCTCATCAATACCCAAATGTCAAGGCTGCTTCGTTGAAAGTTGATGACGTAGTCCTGTTAGAGGACAAAAAATGTCCAAGATATTTTTGGAAGCTCGCCCGAGTTACAGAAGTCTACGCTGGAACAGATGGGTGCGTTAGAGCATGTCTCGTCAGAGACAAAGATGGAAACGTTTATCGAAGACCAGTTCAAAAGCTGCATCTACTTGAAATCCATTCAGCTTCGCTTGCTCGGGAGGATGTTGAGGAAATCGAAGAGAAGAAAGAAGAAGGCACGAGGAATTGAAGTACCGATCGAGACTTTAGAAAGATGAAGATGAGGGTGTTGTTCTTTTTACCATTAAACCCAACGGTCACATAGACCTTCTGATGCTAAAGTCCACCGTCTCACTGATAGATCTTTAAGAATTCCACAGTTTGACTGTCCGGGTAATCCGCTGCTTCAGTCCAAATTGTAACATCGTCTGAATATATAGTAAAACGGGCAGCAGTGTCACGTTCCAGCCGCTGGGCCACCCGTGTCATTGCTAGATTGAACAGCAAAAGTCCGAGGATGGACCCCTGGGGGACCCCCCTATCCAAGAAATAGGTTTTCGGAGTCCATCCCGAGGTCTTTCCATTGAGTTGAATAGGTCGCTGTTGGAGGAACGAGCGAATCCAGTCTTCGGCACGTTGGCTTGGGTAGCGCTGCGCTAATTCTTGGAGTATGGCCTCCTGTGAAACGTTATCAAAAGCCTTACGCATGTCTAAGGCTAAGATATAGTCGGGAAGCGCTTTCCTACTTCGACGGTTAATGACACGGCGTAAGAGCCACAGACAATTGTGCGTCCCCATGTTAGGCCGGAAACCTGCTTGAGCCGGGTGCAAGCCGGGTTGTACATATTCGAGGTAGTATTGAATGCGGGTATGGATCATTCGCTCCATTAGTTTGCAAATGGTAGAAGTCAGGGATATGGGGCGCAAATTACTCGGTGTAGACGGGTCCTTTCCGGGTTTAGGGATTGGGTAGATCAAAGCTAGTTTAAGACTATCTGGGACTTGCGCAGATGCCCAGGATTCGTTGAGAATTTCAAGGAGCTGACGCAAAGCCGTTTCGCTCAGGTTGCGGAGTTCTTGCCAAGTTATACGGTCATGCCCCGGTGCTGAGCGAGCCTTCCCTTGTCTGAGAGCTGCCATGAGCTCGCCGAGAGAAAAAGGCCGTTCAAGAGGTTCATGTGGCGTTGAGATGGTGATTTCGGGGAGCGGTGGAGGAGGGTTGGTTTGAGCGTGCGGAAAAAAAGTGCGAATAACCTGGTCTTCCACTGCGATGGGATCGTTTCGGAGAAAGAGTTCATCGAGAGGAGAGGCACCTTTCTTCCGCCCTAGCATAGAGCGTAAGATGCCCCAGAGATGTCGTAGGCCCGGTTCATGGCTGAGTTTAGAGCAGGTGTCCTGCCAGCGTGATGTTTCGAGCTGGCATTGATATTGGATGAGGACCTTATAGTGGTCCTTTAGGCGCATGAGGTCTTTCTGTCGCTTGCCTCCGTGTCTGTACTTGATAGTAAGAGACTGTGCCCTTTTCCACAGGTTGGCGAGATGTGCATCTATGGGCCCAACCGTGTCGTCGCAAGTAATCTCTTCAGAGGCCGTGATTCTGGTCTGCTCTAGGACGGAGGCGAAGGTCGAAAAATCGTTAAAATCTGTAGGCCAAAGTAACAAAGTTAGTAATGTAAAAAGGTTTTAACGATGAAGTTTAACCTATAAATGGCCACCCAACGACGGGAATCTATGCTTAAGCTACCCCATAATGATAATCTCAATATTGACGCAAATTAACACATTTCCTGAAAACCTAGGCAAACGACTTTTTTTTTTTGTTGTTAAAAGTTAGGGGCAAAACGATCGCGGAGGTTGGCAACACTGCTGTGGAGGCTGCGGTCCCGCAAACCAATAAGGGCGCACGAGCAAGGCACCTGAGAGCACTCCATTGTCGTGGCTACCGGGGCCTCGTTACCGCCCAACAACACAGCCCTCCACTACAAAAAGTAGTTCTCTGTTGTTGTTTTTTTGTGCGTTTTTTTTTTTTGTTAATGGCAATTGAACTCGCGCGATTTCATCTATAACGAGACGATATAAAGAAAAAATAATTAATTACCAATTTATGATTTATAATTATATTTCAACCAAAGTGACGCTACGTCCGTATCCGTTCAATTGTTTTTTTCGCCTGTGCCCTGGCATTAGCACCCGCCATAGATTTCCGGCTAAATTGAGCGCCGTACGAACTGTTCCTAAAGTGCTCGCTATTCTAGTGGACGGAAACGTTGCTGCGGTAAACGTTCATCTGAAGTTAGTAGGTTTCGGAGCAGGTGACTCTTAACCAGCAAACGACAGCAATTCCTCCGGGCCTCGCGCCTCGCATATGGCGTGGTGACACAAATGCTCCCGTGGCGTAGGGTCACGTGCCTCGCTCCGACGTTCTTATTGGGTCGCGGAGCACTAGCCTCCACAGTTGGCCAAGTTATCGTAAAACTGAGTATGGCCTTGACAATCATTTTTCTTGAGACCGGGATAAGACCACGTGATTTCATTCTGAGCAAGCCGGCACGCTGCAGGGGAAGAATGACCCAGATTTAGCATGACGTTTTAGGTTTCACACGAGTATATTTCATTTGTGGGGGAAAAAAGAGGTGTCACACTGGAATTAGAAAGAGAAGTTAAACAACTTCTTTCTAATTCAGTGTTACAGCTCTTTTTAATTAAGATTACTATGATAAACAACTTTATCATCCTCATCTCGCTATTAGTAGTTTGGTCCTGCATTCTGCCGCTCGGTGGTCACGTCGCCTCCACTACTCCCATAACTTTCAGCGCATATTGGGATGAATTAACGCATTTAACACATCGTTTCTACCACTCACAATTGTGTACTGCAACGATCTCTTAGAGTCTTTCGTTTCAATCACGGACCCAGTTATTTTTAGGGATACCATCACTTTATATTTCGGAATGCGGTTTCCTTTGTTGCCTTTTTACTCTCTTTTTACCAAACTACCATGTGTATTACTTTCCATCGTTGTTGTGTTCTTTTTTAATTGTATAACTTAGTGTACTTGCCCGTTTTTATGGAATGCCCTCGAAAGTGAGCTTTTAAGTAATGATAAATGAAATGAAATTAAAGGCATTGTTAGGCGTTTGTGTCAAGAAAGCTGTGCATACTTCAGCTAAGCTTTCAGTATTCTAGCACATTTGTCTTTGAAGAGTTCATCTATGATGACATGTAATCTATGATTTTGTAATGCTATCACTGAAACACTCCTGCTTTCTCTAGTTCACTTGGAGCATGTAAAATGGATTGGACGTGACAGAAACCGCACTTAGCCGTCGATTATATGTCTGAGCTGTGCCTTCTATTTGTTTCAGTTGAAGCCCAATCTCAAACTACAAGGACTTGAGAGATATGTTTTTTGTATGCATGCCATTGTTTTGACATATTTGATAATCCTTATCGTTTGCTTAGCGGGCTCAGTGGTTAGGTGAACTTGACCGCTCGACGACCGGATTACGTTAATTCGAAAAATGCGAGTCGGCTCTAGCGTGACTCCAACACTGTCAACGATAGCGGCTCGAGCAGATATATTTTCACCTAACCTATCATTTCCATAAGCATGCGCCTTAATCAAGCGCTAAACCAAGACAGGAGCTGCAGCCAGCAGCTTTGAAAGCGTCATACAACGGACTGTAGTTTGGCACAAGAAACCACCCTCTTCGATAGCGTGTTGAAGCCATGAGCACTCGGATATCAGACAACGAAACTGAATTCTGCTACATTTTCGCTAGCTCCGAACATTTGCCTTTTAAATATATGGTGTCTTTTCGCAACAATCTAGACTAAGAGAAATATGTACTTTCGCAAATAAAATTTATATCACTCTAGTATATAGGTAATAATCAAGTAGCACCGTTGCATTTATGTAAATTACGGTAGGGGTTACCATCCCTTTGTGTAAAACAAATAGTCTGCTATTCGCCTCGAGATCGAACC